TACGTACGTACTACGTACAACTACGTAATTAACTAATACTATAATAGTATATATATATATATATATATATATATATATATATATATATATATATACGACTTTGATAGAACAAAAGTTACAAAGGCGGATTTATTCATGACTACAAACTTCTTCCAAACTACTCCTGTTGTGCATACGAACAATACGGCTGCAATTACTCTGAAAAGAATTTACAGTAGTTTGATGAGTTTGGCTACTCAGTAAGTGACAATCATAATCCTAAAAAAATCATGGTTGACAAATGTAAATAGTTTCTAAAAGAATGCATATTAAAAACAATATGAGGAAGAGCATACATAGAGAATAGTTTCAAATTCAGAAACACACAATTCAACATAATTCAAAAGATTTGAATGCATATTGAACTAGTATGAAGAAGTGCATATATAAATCCTTCAATAGAAATGCTCAGTTTAACATGATTCAAAGGATTTCACAAAGTACCCTACTTACGTCTCAAGTAGGTGATCTATATATCCCACTTGCGTCTAAGATGGGTCCACTTAATTCCTATCGACGTACCGGATAGGTCCGCTCATATTTCACCTGCGTGTTGGAGGAGTCCACTTATTCTCTGTAACTGATGTCTTGAGTAGATTATAATTCTTTATCTAATGCTGTATAAGAGCAACCGTATTTTCTAAGGTTCTATGAATTCCTACCCTGCTAGCTCTAGTTACATGGGATCTTGATATCGTAATAAGTATGACTTAGAGTATATTTCTATTCAGATTTCCTACGAATCCTAAACCTATTATTCTGATATCAAACTAACTCTTGAAGTAGAAGGCCTACCCATTGGGCCAATCAAATCCAGATGTGTAGAACCTCTACCATCACAATCCAGAGAGAGGCACCATCAATGGGTGAATCCGTTGCGTATTGTCTCACACACGCACACAACCCCAGCGCGCTTTGGGGCTTTTGATAAGCACTAGCCTTGCAAGACACGACCCGTCATTTGCCCTTCTGGTGAGAGAGTGCTACACTACCAAAGGGGTCCCAATGAGTAGTGCCTCACATAAGTTTGGTGGTGCGACCTTCCAAACACATACACTCCTAACTCTCATCGTATCATAGAGAGCAAGGATAAATCACAGCTGCGGGCACAATTTTCTCATCATATCGTAACAAAAGCATGTTATCATGCATTGATCATATAACAAAAGCATATCGCACTGCACACATCTTTCCAGAAGCATGTCTCACATGTAATTATAAGAAACATCAACATGTCTATGCTATACATATAATCACAAGGGAC